GCAAATATTATGTATTTATAAATGTTAATATCTCTTCAAAATACTCATTTTCTGAGAAAAAAAAAAATTATCACAAATAAATGGCAAATAAATTGAGAATTTTTGTTAACTAGAAAAGAAAGCAAAAATTTTAATATGAACCGTTATATAGCTATATAACTTTAAGAAAATTTTTCAACAGAAAATTATACAAAAATTATATAGAAAAATAAAATTACTAACGCTAACGTTATTGACTATCAGTAGCAGACACAAATTTATTTTATTGCTTACAGAAATATGTATGTACACAGCCACATTACACATTTATGTATTTAATATTTATGCACTAATGCCAACAAAAAAAGCGACAGTTATTTATTTTTTTTTACAATTAATTGTCCGTGCGGCAGATGTGACGATAGATAACTAATAATTTTATTAATTGAACACGAAGCAAAGAACATACAAACACACACGCACCAAAATGCATAAATATATATGTATATGTACAAATATAATATACTTACTACGGCCAACAACAAAGCTAAATGTTAATATGCCGCAACCTAAGCAAAGAAAAGCAAAACGCAGCAAGCAAAAGCGACAACAAACAATAAACAAAAGTGTATTCAAGCGAGAGTTAAACATAGCATAGAACAATGTAACAACAATAGCAATAAGCCAACAAATTGTTAGCATCTAATTGCTGTAAAAAGTCAATAACAACCCAAAACAACAACAGCAACAAAAGCACAGCACAGAAAGAAATTACACGCAACAATCAACGGAACCGCGCGTTATTCGATAAAAAGAAATACTACAATAAATCAATAATTATTAATATGATGAAAATGCAGGAACTGAAACACCGCGTTGTGTGTGTGTGTGAGAAAAAACGCAAATTGAATAAATGAACTTGAACTTCAGCACTCGCTTGAGCTGGCGATTATAAGCGTTTTGATGCCTGTCAGTGCATGTGTGTGTATGTCCATGTGAGCGTGTGACTTTTTGTGCTAAACAATTTGTTTGCTTGTATGTGTGTGTGTGTGTGGGTGCATGTATAAGATGCGCTAGTGCCCGCCATTCACAAGTCAACGAATTTGCGCTCGAGTGCATTTGCGAGTGACAAACGATACCAAGCGCTTGCAATTGTTCAAATGTTTGAGTATGAGTTTTGTATTGAAATCATTTTTCATTCAACTTTTTGGCAGTGTAATTTGAAAATATAATTTATGAAAAGGGTCAGTATAAACATTTACGGTACACAATATTGATTATTGTTACAGTTATTGTAATGGTATTAGGAAGTGAGGCGGATATGTTAACAAGTAGGTTGAAGTAGTAGTAGGAATTTTTGTTTGAAACTTTTTTTTTTATATTTTTTTACTAAA